AAACCAAAGAAAGAAAGAAAGATCTGATAAGCAATTATTGTCCCAGGTGAGCTACCACCTGGGGAGCTATAGCCAGCTTGGCTCCAGGCCGAGAGAAAATTCCAACCCTTTTTATTTCATGACCATGAAGAGATTAATTATTTGAAGGGTATACAAAGGTGCGTCCTGTTATATCACCAGCTTAAACCAAGGAAACAAATCCTTATACTATGCTTTGTAAGAGTTCTGTGTTAAATTTGAACCACATTGTATTAAATCCTAAATGCTTAATTTCTCTTTGTAATAATCTGGGGTTTTTCTAAGAATAAGGCTCATACCTTTCAAAGTCTCTGAGTACATGGTCTTTTTCTCTGGAGTCTTATATGAATGCTGATACTGATACTGTCAACACACAGACTTGTAGATCCTGAAGACTGAATTCCTTCCATCTACAGACACCAAAGCTCTTTAACCCCACCTCTCTGTCTTGGTAATTTGGAACAAATTTTCCAAATATGTTTGATAAGGACGCACAAGAGAATTCCAGCATTTCTTGAGACACTGGAACTCGTTAGGATTTTGCCTTCCTTTTTTAAAATTCTGAATGGTTTATCATACCAGGGAATGTGGTGCCTTGATTTTCGTTTGTTTGATATCCATGCATTTCACATTCATGTATACTGAACTACTGAACATCTGTGGCTCGTGAAACGGAAGTAATAAAGAGGGAAGCCTCGGTGCCCACCCAGTGCAAGACCATCAGTGCTGCAGTGAGGATCTTTGGGTCAAGAGCGCCACCTGTCAGCAGTGAAACAAAGCGGCCTCCTGTGCGCCAGAGTCAGAGGCACCACAGGCTGGGTGGAAGAGGGGATCAGCTATCATTCGCATTTTCATTTTGCGTCACACTCAATTAACTTTTCTATTCAACAATAACAAAGAGCCTGCGATTATCCATCATGCCTGTTTTAGTGGAAGCACGGGAGCCGAGGGACCCTGGGCCCTAAGAAAAGTCCTGAATTTTTCCATGGCAATAGTTTTTCACTTCTGTAAGTCCATTTTTAAAAGAAGATCATGGAAAATTCGTTTACCTTTTTTTTTTACTCTATTTGCAAGCTAAGGAAAATTCTTAACCTACTTCTTAGTAGTCTGGACTATTAATAAAATGTTTAGATCCTCTGTAAAGTAAAACAAGTCTCTAACCTTTATTCAGGTTAGTCATTATTCCTTAGTATGTCAGGGATCTTGGAGGTCTTCTGAATCTCTCTTGTTATAGATGGAGAATCTAGGGCTCAGGGTGGAGCAATAAATTCTTATTACTTCCCTGTTCATGCCACACCCTTCGGCTACTACCCTGGTTTCCATCCTTTGGGCCACTCTCTTTCTCTAAGTTGGATTCCTAGAATTTTACAACTTAGAGGTACTAGACAATTGGGACTAAATGAAAGCTAATTGTAATATCTTAGACTTTATCTGAATAGAGGTTTTATCTTCGTATTCTTGTTCTATTCCACTTGTGCTGATAGAGTACCAATCTCTCCATGCATAACACATGAAAAACACAGATGCTAATTGATTTCTGAATAAACTTATAAAATCACTGCCTAGGTCTCTGAATTCACTCATGTAAAATTTTTGAAAAAGCATTTTTAGATTCTTCTTCTTTGTAGATAGTGATTTAAAACATACCTGCATGCATTATTTGATGTTCATATGGCTTTTTCTAAACAACATGGTTGACTTTTAACAGAAACTTCTGGAGATAAGTCATATTCTGAGTAGCATGAGAGAAATTTTTCTTTGTACCAAATTATTTACTGCGAAAAGGTGTCGCTATCGCAGGAGAAAGACAATGGGCTGAGGATAGAAACATCAAGTCGAGTGTTGGCCACTTAGTAATTCTGTGGCTAAGCCAAGTTGCCTAAACCCTCCTGGTAGAGGTGTGTGTGTGAGTGTGTGTGTGTGTGTGTGTGTGTGTGTGTGTTGGGAGACAGAGATTGGGGATAAGAAAATCTAAACTGCCTTTCTCATTGGATTGTTGTTAGCATCCAATTCAATAATGTCCTTTAAACTTCTTTAAAATATAAATCAAATTTACATTGGTATTACAATGGCCAGAGCACTTGCTCATTGCCACAGAGCAGGCCTAGTGGGAGCAGTGTATTTAAAAGTCAACAGCTGAGCTCTTTGATCTGCCAATTTGGATGGAATCCCAGCTTCACCACTTACAAGCTGTGTGACCTCTAGTGAGTTACTGAACCTGCCTCCGCGTGACATCCCAAGGGAATGCTAATACAGTGCGTATCATATTGGGGTTGTGTGAAGATTAAGTAGAGTGATGCAGGCAGGACACCAAGTAGGAGGTGCATCCCGCAGCAAATCAATGTTAGTTTGTCTTCATATCATGAGAATCTTGTTCCTGGTTTTTCATGTGGTTCTGTGTAAAAACAACATGGGAGAGTTGGGCCTCTTAGCCCTCAAAACATCTCCTGTAGGTCTGTTCACTTATTTACAGAGGTCTAGCTAAGACATCTCAAAGCACATAGAATAAATTAATGTGCCCTGAAACAAAATCATCTTCGGTAAGGACTCATCAGTTTTGAGGGCTAACCCCAAGAATATCTGCATTTTAATCCAGCCTCCTCACTCATCTTTAGGACGGTGTCCCTTTCTCAGAAATGCTTCTCTTGACTCTACCAAGTGTCCCCAACAATCTCAGTTCCTGTATAAACTTTATAGACTCATAAATATCTCATATATTTTTGTTTCATTTGTATTACAAATAATTTGGTTCATTTACTCCATTTCCCCTTTTCTATTGCAATGTTCATAAAGGGCTTCTCTTTCTGTCTTTTCTCACTATACTTAAGAGTCAAGTGACGTGAATGATTCCAAGGACACTAATGCTTTGACGTTAGATAATCTTGGACTCACATCGTGTCTATTACTTTATGGATATCCTTGGAAAAGTTGGTTTAATTCTCTGAATCTCATATTTTTTGCTCAGAAAATGAAGGTAACCTTGAAGAATTCTGGGGAGTCTTGGAAATGATACCTTGAAAGCCCCTAACACACAGTGAACCTTCTGAAAAAGCTTATTGTCAATGTTTCTCTCTTTAAGTTGTCTGTTGTGGCTATTACCACCATGATGGCCTTCATCATTATGCCTATCCCTGGGTATTGGCCCAAAGTCCCAAGCATGAAAAAATAAACAGGAAAGCAGGAAAACATTAAACACCAGAGAAGCATGGTGTCCTGCAAACACAGAACAATAAATATATTTATTCCACCAACCAAAAGTGAAGGCTCAGTAGGTTTGGTCACGCTGATGAAAGAGAATACTTATGAGATAGCGCCACTTAGTGGTGGCCTTCTTGTACTACAGGCAGCTACTCAGCCCCACCTCCTGTGAGGAAATAATTGCCAAAGGAGCCTCCAGGTTTTCCTTCTTGTCCTCATTGAATAGGTCGGGGAGACAGGCACGATGTTTCCACGTTTGCTTTTTCCCACACCCTTCTCTCTCCCCCACCCTGAGAGGCTGTGGACAGCTCACTGGATCTGTTCAGCAGGGCTTTAGAGCTTTGCTTGCTACTCCTATGTCAATACTTAGATCCCCTCTGTGCATACAAATTAGCTCATTAGCAACTAGTCAGCAATTAACTAATATATTAATCAGTCGCAAAGTAAAAAAGGATTGAGATTCTTCCTGACATTTGCAAGTTAAAACGTGGCCTCGATCTGAATTCAGAATTCTCTTTCTCCATCTAAAAAGAGAGAAAAATGAAAGCACGAGAATGTTTTATCTGATAGTGGATTCTGCAGCTATTCCTAGACAATTATTAACTTTTAAACTCAATGGTGTTAAATGAGGAGTCCTAAAGTGCTCTATAGACATCATCTGATCCAGTCTGAGTTCCTGAAAAAGAGAAAATAAGCAGATTCCGTTACCCTTGTAATTATTCATTCACGTGTTTGTAGTGGAATCTCTGATGAGAAACTAAATACATCAATAGCGGAGATATCCCAGAGCCCGAGTATAAAGCTGTAGATTCTTCAGCTGTGAAGAAATCTTGTTTTAGAGGTTAGAATTTTAGAATTTGAAGGTATTTAAAAATTAAATGGCCCAACTCCTCCTTTTGTAAATGACAAAGAGTTGTGTGTTTATCTTACTCAGATTGTTGTGACTTTGTGCTTTAACCTTGATTGCCGTGTTCGATTTTGTTACAGAATGGTCGGCCTCTATGAACAAGTCAAGCTGTAAAACACCTTCTACAAAGTGCCGTTTACTGCGAGAGAGTGGGTCTGGGAGAGAATTAGAAACAGCTGGAGGCATACACAAGGGTTATGTGACTCCTGTTTTAAAGGCAGTTTAAAAGCTCAGACGAAGAGAGAATGGGAAGAAACGGAAAGTTAGAACAGAACAGATGTTGCTCAGCTGTGACTCCAGCAGTAGACGTGCCCCGGCCTTCCTGGTGACAAGGAAGGACCTTCCTGGCAACTTAATGTGTTTCCTATCTCCTTGCCACTCTGGTCTTACCTGGGCATGACAGAAGAAAGAAGTGTATCTTGATCCTCAATACCCTTGCTTTATAGGAATGTCATGGCCCTTGGACCAATAGCAACTATTCTTGTACAAGTTGGGAAACGTGTCCCAAAGAGATTGGTTTTGTTCACTGAAGTAACATTTTTTGAGCTAGTAATTTGTGTCACTCTACAAACACTTGATGGCACACACCTCCTTCCCTTTGGGAAGGAGATTCTGTCCCTGACATGAGTCTCCCTTCTGCATCCTCTGCTACCACCACCATTTTCTTGTTACCACATCGAGGCTCTGGGGATAAAAGATGGACCAGATACAGTGCCTCTTCCTAAGAATCTGTCTAGTATCACCATCAGGATAAAGCTGCCTGAGAAGTATTTCATGAACTCAGAAATGTATTTCCAAAACCTTAGAGAATTATTCTGTGACTTTGTGGTTTTCCATTTGGCATTTTCTTTTCTTTCTTTTTTTTTTTTTCAGCAAACTTAATTCACTTTATTATTCTTGTATAAAAACCCTATGTTGTAGCCACAGCTGGAGCCTGGGTCCTCTGCACAGAGACTTTGGTGTGGGTCTTCACAAGATGGTCAGTGAGTTCTTGGTAAGGAGACTTGGTGAACGCTATCTCTTTCCAGAGATCAGGAATTAGATAGCTATAGGTCTTGGAAACGGCATCAAAAGTGGTCTTGGCAAAGTTGCCCAGGTTGGCAGTGCAGCCCCTGGCTGAAGTGTAGTAGTCATCGATCCCAGCCATTATTAGCAGCTTCTTAGGCACAGGCGCTGAGACAATGCCAGGTCCTCTAGGAGTAAGGATGAGATGTACCAGCACAGAGCCACAGCAGCCTGTCACCTTGCAAGGAACAGTGTGAGGTTTGCCGATCTTATTCCCCCAGTAGCCTCTCCACACTGGGACAGTAGAGAGCTTGGCCAGGATGATGGCCCCTCGGATGGCAGTGGCTACTTCCTTGGAACACTTAACACCCAGACGGACATGGCCATTGTAGTCCCCAGTGGCAACAAACACCTTGAACCTGGTCCATGGGCTAGGACCGGTCTATTTTGGAGCTGGCATAATCTTCAAAACCTCATCCTTGAGAGATGCCCCCAAGAAAAAAATCAATGATCTTAGATTCCTTAATGGGCAGGGAGAAAAGATAGCTCTCCTCCAGGGATTTGATTTTCATGTCCTTGACCAGGCAGCCCAGCTTGGTGACGGGCATCCACTCTTTGTCCTCAGCCCCAACCCCGACCACGGCCGCGACCCCGGACTCGAATGCTGCTGCAGCAGAAGCCTCCACAGAAACCACCACGGCCTCCCATTCCAGGGCCCCCAGAGCTTCCAGGCCCTCCCACTGCACTGGCATCATCTGCCATTTGGTGTTTTTGTAGGAAAAGAAGTCCATTTGGCATTTTCTACCTTCTAAAGCCAAGTGCCACTTTGAAATGACAGAAACAGTCATTGAAAAGGAAACTTGACCTAATTTATAAACTAAAAAATTATCTTTGCAATTAGGATGAACCAAAGACACAGGTATCCCTTGAGATGTACTTTATACATGCATAAGAATAACATTTCTGCTCTAAATTTCTTTCCAAGATCTAAAATACATAATTCCTTGACAAAATAGTCACCTCTGATTCAATGAATATTTATATGGTACTACCATATTCTGAGATAGCCTCTCTCCAAGTGAAGTGCTATCCCCCGCCATGGAAGACCCTAGTGGTTGCCAGGATGTACACATTTTGATTTTGGAAAGTCCCAGGGTGCAGTGTCAGTACTGGAAATTATATAAACCGTGGTGTTACAAAGTTTAAATCCTGGCACTGAGTCTTAACAGTTACCTGAAGCGAGTTATTCAACCTCTCTGAGCCTATTTCCTCACCTGCGGAAAGCAGATAATGATATTCTGCAGGGTTGTATGGATGCAAATGATTTAGTAGAGCTCCTGGCAAAATGCCTGATACAAATTAGGTGTTTTGTAAAGAAAGCCATTATAACTGCCACGTAAATACTTCTTGTACTCATTCTCTGAAACTCTCTTTCTCACTCCTCCAATGCCCTGCCCTCCCAGTGAGACTGCCCAACTAACTATTCAGTGTTTTAGTAAAATAAAGCGTGGCAGTTTTAGTAGGTGGTTTTTTTATCTAATTATTTTCCTCGTGTCAACTAGCAGCCTTTGTTGTTTGTCCCCCCCCCCCCCCCCCGCCCCTTGTTTTCTTCCATTCTCCATCATTCTTCCACACTTCTGGGCCTGCTTGCTGATGTGGCCTGCCTTTTATGACTCTTAGAAGACAATAAAATTATGCTATTTTTTATGGACATCAAACCAAGAAACCACTAAGTGCTAAATGGCATCTTGGGCCAATTAGTGTTTTGGTTTGCTGGATTTGATGCAAGAAGCTCTAGATATTTCTTTTTTTTTTTTTTGTTATACATAACTTTTAACTTTTCCCCTTGTTTTAATCTTCTGGGCTCAGTGCCCTTCCAGGTGCACAAGATTACTAGAAATAACTAAGATTTACTTCAAAACCTATACGTCTACGCTTTAATAATGAGAAATTCACTAGAAGAACAATAACGGCATTTCCTTTAGTTAGAAGCATAAATATTCCAATTGCTTGGATATTGCATAAATATTCCAAATGCTTGAATATTATCAGCTAGTTGTCTTACTGTAACTTACTCTCCATATGACTTAACTCTGCTACTGTTTTGTAAGAGTATTTCCTTATTTAATGGAAAATGCTACTGCTGAGTACATGTCACTGTTTCATTTCTTTTTCTTTGTCTGGAGGCCTATATCACCAGTTCTCAGATACCTGGTTCACCAGGTAGCAACTAGCGGAGGCAACAAGGTTGTCTGTGAAATTCACCTGGAATTCCTACCCTATTGCTTACGGACCACGCAGGTGAACAGAGTCAAACCGCAGCTTCCATTGCTGGGGATAAAAGTTTAAGTCTATTACAGGTGTCCTCAAACTACATGTTGCCTGCCGAGGACATTTATCTGGCCTGCCAGGTGTTTTGGCCACCGCTGCCTGTCCTGCTTAGCAGTGGACTCGTCCCGGGGCCCACAGTCTGGCCCTCCAACAGTCTGAGGGACAGTGAACCGGCCCCCTGTTTAAAAAGTTTATGACAGCTAAAGATTCTTGTATAATTATGAAAATCTTTAGGAAATGAAGGTGTTCATCTATGGAGAAGATTTAAAGGCACCAGGAAACTGGCATAAGGGATCATTTATTCAGGTAACTGAAAAAAAAATTAATAATGTAAGCTCTGTGTGTGCAGAACTCTCCACTCCGTAACTCAGATGTGGCCAGAAGCAGTTTTAACACAGATATTAGTGCTGATTGGCTTAGAGCCTGGAGGCCAAACTGTCCTTGCTCAGCCGCTCAAGGTGAACTGGAAAGAGAACACACCTTCTCTCTGAAGTCTTCGCCACCACCTTCAGTCACCACAGACCTGGCTTTCTCTGCTGTCGCTGCTCATCTGAGCAGAAAGCCCCCACCCCCAACTTGGCTGTTCGGTTAATTCCTGGGTTTAAGGGATGTGGTATGCACCCTTTGACGCTTTTTTTGCTGCAGTGCAATACTTTGCCACGGGCAAGAAAGTGGCAAAATAGAACAAAGCCCAATCTCTTTCCCTTGAACAAACATTCCTTTTGTAATGTTTCTTGGCTCTCAGACTTAATATCCTACATTTATCTTCTTTGAGCTGAATTGCTCTACTTTAACCTAGTTACATAAATGATCAAAGCCACCCTCTAATTCCACTCATCTTTCCAAAGTCTCTGTCAGGGGCAAGCTTGGGAGCCTTTCTACCTAATTAAAAAGGGAGTGGATTCACCATGTGAAACTTGTTATTTCTCCATTCATTTTAATATAAACATAGCATCGGTTTTCTACTGACTGTAATTCATTGACAAAATAAGGAGAGAAATTTTAAGCATTTTCTTTTTGAACATGTAGGATGTAGTTTATTAATCACAGCACTATTGATATTTTGTGCTGGATAATTCTTTGCTATGGGAGGTTGTCAACAGTAGCCCTGGCCACGGCCCACAAGGTACGGCTCCCCTCCTCTCCTCTCTGACAACCAAAAATATCTCCAAATACTGCCAAATGTCCCCTTGATGCAAAATCACCACAGGTTGAGAACCCCTGATAGATCTCATGTTAACCTTTTTATCTGGGAGGATACAGCAGACAGAAGCAGCACTTCTTTCTTGAATATCTCAAGGGGGGAAATAAAAGAATTTGAATTTTTGTTAGACTTGATCTCTATTCTTAGATCAGCTCCTAAAGTATACTTATGAATATTTCTGGGAAATTTTACTTTAATAGACCTGTTGCTATTTATTCTTTCACCCAATTCTTCTCATAAAGAACAGTTTACAAAATCTATTTCAAACATAGAATCTCATTTAATTTCCTCCCCAGAAGTAGTGGGTACTAATAGCTATTGGGGAGCATCAACTATCATAAAAAGAAAGATTTGGAGGAAGACAGACTGGAGAGCTTCAGTTCTGTTCCCCGGCTATGAACACAGAGGCCAGGTCCTTAGCTTCTGTCACCTGAGTTTCCTCATCTGAAATGGGGGATCACGAACGCCTGGGAGGGAAGTTGGGAGAATTAAACAAGATGAGATGTATAAAACTGTATCAGTGACGGCTTTGGTTATTATCACAGGGAGCCCAGAGCTCTGTGCATTACACTATACTGCAGTAAAGCCGCTTTCTCAGTACCAGTGGGTTTCCCCCGTTCTGGTCACAGACCATTCTGAGGACCTGATAAACAGAGACGTCCTCATGAGCAACACAATTTGATATGTCATTGACTTATTGGAGTAGAAACAGGCTGGCCAATTTCTCTTTTTCAACAAAAAAAGATGAAGGGGGTGGCACCTCCGGCTCAAGGAGTAGGGCACTGGCCCCATATACTGGGGGTGGCAGGTTCAAACCTGGCCCTGGCCAAAACCACACACACACACAAAAAAAAGAAAAGTGAAGAAGGGTAACTGGTACAAAGGGGTTCAAGGTCACCCAATATTATTACTTACTATATTCATTTCCTATTACTGCTGTCACAAATCATCATAAACTTAATGGCTTCACACAGAACAAATTTATTATCTTGCAGTTCTGGAGGTCAAAATGAGCCACATTCAGCTAAAATCAGGGGGCCAGCCCGGCTGTATCCCATTCTGGAGGCTCTAGGGAGAATTTACTTTTCCTGGAGTTTCTAGTTTGCAGAGCCTGCCTGCATTCCTTGGCTTACGATCCCCTTCCATCTTCAGAGCTGGCCATGGCCAGGTGAGTCCTGTCATATCACATCATTTTGGCATTTTCTCTTCTGCTTCCCTCTTCCACCTTTACGAACCTTTGGGTTGATTATACTCAGTTTATTTGGATAATCTTCCTATTGTAACTTCAACTGATTTGCAAACTTATTTCACCTGCTAACATTCTCCACCTGCTAACTGTTATATTGTAATATAACAATATTTATAAATTCTGCAGAGATTAGAACATAGATATCTGTGGGAGGTCATTATTCTAGCTACCACAATCTCTTTCTTCTGGTGTTTTTTGCTGGTATGGTAGGAATAAATCCTGTTACAAGCCCCAGCGAATAATTACAGTTTAGTAAAGCAGGAAGTTGCCTGGATTCATTGTTGGATTACAATATGCCCATATCATCTTAAAATAGGACCCCTCAAAAACTATGTATTCTCAGTTTATAATTTTTTAGCAATTCAACATCTTCCAACTCCTGACAACTCAGGTAGCTGGAGAAATCCTTTATGACTCACAACCCAAAGTTAAGATAACTCATGCGTATTTTGTAAAGAACATTGCAAATACAGGTAGAGATGCCCATGAAGACTAAATCAAGACTGCATGAACTGGGAAGCGCTCAAAGGAAAGAAAGGCACCACTGGGGAAGGGGACACGGCTGTGCAGAAGGAAACGCAGGAAGGTACCACCTACCCCCACCTGACTTGCAGTCCCTTTGCTTCACAGCACCCGTCTCTACAATCTCCCTCATAAAATCCTGCTATAGAGCAATCATCTGCATCTTCCTTATGCTCCTCCAGTAGACCTTACTACTTTGCCTCTAATTCTTCCTTCAGTTAGCACCATTGAGTATGACAAAAATCGCTTCCTGGTCATCATCCTAGCCGTGTTTAAGACAAGCCCCACTGTCCTTGACATTCATCTGTTTTTTAGTCGTATTTATTCTTTTTGTTGAACCATTTTTTTCAACATAACTGTTTTATACCTTCTTTCTCCATAATTCTCCAATAGTTTCTCCTCCATTCCCAAATATTCAGGCTCCCTTTCCCCCTGGTGGCACAGTAAGATTGTACTCTATCAGCCCCCTTTGAAGTTAGATGTATGGCAGCGTTACTTATTTGGCCAATGATAATGCAAGGGAAAGGTCAATGTATATTACTTTCAGGGATAGGCTATAAGAGCCAGGGTGCCAAACAGGCTACTTAGCTCCCTGAATGAAGTTAGGGTAGCATCCCTTAGCTGACCTGTACAAGAGACACTTAGCACAAGAGAGAAAGAAACCTGTGATGTGCTAAGATTCAGGGGATAAAAATGTTGCTTGTCACTATAACACATTCTGGCCTGCATTCTGCTTCCTATTTTGGTGAGAAAATAGAAGCAACCAGAAGAGAAGTTGTAGAACCTCCCATGAGCACATCTTCCATTGATTACTCACCATACACTCTGCTTTCCTCCAGCACCATGGATAAATTCTCCATGCTTCTACTGTACTTTTTAAGCAGGAGGCCAGTTCACTGTCCCTCAGACCATTGGAGGGCCAGACTGCCGGCCCTGGGACGAGTCGGCTGCTAAGGACAGGCAGCAGTGGCAAAAACACCTGGTGGGCCGGATAAATGTCCTAGGTGGGCTGCATGTGGCCTGTAGGCCATAGTTTGAGGACGCCAATCTACTCAAAGCCAGTCTTTCATGTTTATACTAGATTGGATCTGCGTTCCCTAACTAAAGCTGACATTCAAGTATTTTCCTTCTCTTTCATAGAATCAATTTTTCCCTGTCTATTAGATAACTTTCATCAGTAAGCAAGCATACTATAATATCTCCTATCTTTTAAAAATAATCTCTTCTCTAGTGGCCGCCATCCCTACCTCATTTGGAATGAGTTGCAATACACATTCCCATTCCTTTCCAAATTTTCTCACTAGGGTTCTGCTCACCCCACGACACTGAAACATACTGTTGTCAAGATCACCGATGACATGGAAGATACTGAGTCTAGTTGTGCCTTGATCCTCATCTGATATAATATTGACTTGGTTGACCAGATTCTTTCCTTCCTGAAATATTTTCTTCATTGGGCTGCCAGGACATAATGTCTCTTAACCCTCTTCCCTACCTCACTGGCTGCTTCTTCTTGATCTCCCAGATTCTGAATGTTGGGGTGTAGCCCTTGGATATCTTCCCTTCTTTGTCCACACTTCCTCACCAGGTGATCTCGACCAGTTTTGTGGTTTTATTATATAGCATGACATACTCTAATGATGCAATTTTTTTAACCTCAGTGCTTATGTTTCCTTTGACCTCCAGATGTTTATTTCCACTAACATCCTAGTAAGTATCTCAAGTTGAGCCTATTCTAAACAACACTTCTGATTCCTATTTCCCACAACCCAGTCTTGCAGTTTTCTCCAGCTAAGTAAATAGCAATTCCATTCTTCTGGTTGGTCAGTCCAAAAATTGTAGAGTCATCCTTCGCTCCTGAGTTCTCTTATACCTATGTCTAATCTGTCACAAATCCTATTAATTCTTCCTTCAAATTATATACAACCTTCAACAATATCTCACTATCTGTACTGCCACCAGCCTCAACCAAACCAAAATCATCTCTCAAAAGAATTATTTCAATAGTTATAACTGCGCTTCCTATTCCTTTCTGTCCCATGTCATCTATCCTCAAAGTAGCAGACAAAATGATCTGTTTAAAAAGTAAATTAGAAGCAGGACCTTCTTTTGCTCAAAGCCTTCAGGTTCCCATCTCATACTACTGTTGTAGTTCCAAGCAGTAAGTTCTCCCTGTGCCAGTGGCCAAGTTAACCTCCCAAACTACTACAAGGTAGCTGATATACTTCTGAAGAAACCGAGGCTTATGGGTTATCACATAACCAGCAAGAAAGTGGTGGAGTTGGGTTTGGGACCCAGAGGAGTCCAGAGCCTGTGGCCCTTCACCTCCATTCTCTGCTGTCATCGCTTGGTCTACACAGATATAAGCTGCTTGTACTTCATCTGTGCTATACTGGTTGCTCAGAAAGTTGCATATTTCTTCCTCCACACCCATACCCAGTGTTTACGCCAAAGGACATCAATCACGGTGTCTCTTTATGAAGAATCTTAGGGGGAATATCAGGGATTTCAGATATCTCGAATAAGTTTTTTTTTTTTTTTTAACATACTCCACTTCCAAAAAGGCTCAGAAACAGACATATTTTATTCTCTGAAGAGTCACTTAGGTGTGCACGTTGACTGTGATGTTTTCCAACACAGGCAGTTCTAAAGGTAACTCTAAAGGTAACGTGGGAGGCTCCAACAATGCAATCTATAAGCAGGAAATGTGTAAAGAACACATAATAAAAACACAAATAAAGACAGTCAACTCATGGGAACTCAGTACTGCAAGACAAACAGTCTGGTGAGTGTCGGTATCAGAAATGTGTATCTCTGCAAGTATTTATCTTGGTGGTGGAGTTCCAAAAGTGCTTACTTGTGTCTTTGCAGCTGACCCTACCATACTGGGCTTTCCCAGTAGATGCTGACTGCCTTAGAAAGCGTTCCACGGAGTGTGTTCTGTAGTCTTCTGTAGCAGCTTCTTGGTCTGATGAATATGCCAAACAGTGCAGGGGAAATGTTCTAGCATAGTTCCTGGTGTAGTATTCTGGCCCTGATTGGATGGACTGTGAGACTGTAAGCAACTCCAACAGCTAGGACCAACCTTGTCTAGTTCATCATCGTATCACCAGCATTTAGTACCAGGTATCAAACAAGTATTTGTGCTAGGAATGAAAAAATTCTAATTTCTTTTCATTTCTAACCCTCTCCACCACTTTCTCTCCTTGAGTTTCTCAGTCTGCTTGTCTACTTTGTTTAAAAATTGGTAGCACTGGCTTTTGATGGAATCAAGACAGATGGCTGGGACAGCCCCTGACCATCTTTTTGAGGGTTGGGGAAGTGTGTTTTCACCAGGGACTGTTCTTCCTCCCTCGCCCATGTAGGGCTCCTTCCAAAGTCTCCCAACACTTCTGCCACTCCCAATTAATTTTTCCCCTCCAAAGTACTTTTCCTCTGTAAAAACGGTATAGATTTCCCATTCTGAAGTAAGTCCTATTTCTTCCCCCAATTAATTGAGTTTCCCTAAGATTTTGCGGCAATGTCACCCAGCCCTCCTCCTCCAAACGCAGGCTGCCCCTCTGCCTCTCCCACAGGAAGTGCAATCCATTTAAAAGTTTGAGGGAGTCAGGTGAGTGGAGTTTATTTAGCTAACAATTACTGAGCGCCTAGTATGTCCCTAGCATTGTGTCTGCCTCGGATGGTGAAATGCCCAACTGGCAGCCACCAAGGCAGGGCAGGCAGAACACAGGACTAGTCACTAGGGAAAACCAGGGAGGAGAAGGGGGAGCGAGAGGAAAGAGACTGGGGGATGAGAGGAGAAAGGGAAGAAAAAGGAAGAGAGTGGCTCAGGGCCGGGAGGGGCGGGGCGGGGCAGGGCGGAGGGGGAGGGGCTCCGCCGCGCCGCCTGCTCCGCCCACCCGGATCCGGGTCCTTATGGCCATGGCCTCGGCCTCATCGGGTCGCGGGGTCGGGTCACTGCTCCAGTTCTTGCGATTGGTGGGGCAGCTGAAGGTGAGCGGGAGCCAGGCCGGGAGCGGCGGCCGCGGGGCTCAAGTTCCCCTCTGGCCCGCTGCCTGCCGCCTCCCTCCGCCCTCCCCGCCCCCCTGGACGTGGGGAGGCCGCGCAGTAGGTCTGCGGCG